CTGCCCCTGTTCAGCTGGGCCACAGGTCGCGCCGCCACCCCGGTTGCCGGCCGGCAGGGCACGATCAGGGTCACCGCGCTGCGCCCGGGGTGGTGACTGCCGAGCCCCCCCCCCCCCCTGCATTGTTTGGGGGACGGTGCGGCGCGGCCGGACAGCGGCATGCAAAATAGCGCCGCCTGTGTAGCGTACACAGGCGATTGTTGGCTGTGTGTGCTGTCTGCAGCGCTGCTGGGAGCTCGGCGCTGGCCCAGCGACGTCGCCGCCGGCACCTCGGCGACCAGCAGGCAAGTTGCGGTCAGGTCCGGGCCGCTGACGTGACTGGCCCAGCGGCGTCGCCGCCGGCCCCTCGGCAGCCAGCAGGCAAGTTGCGGTCAGGTCCGGGCCGCTGACGTGACCTGCACTCGGTCAACTACACGGAGAAAAAGCACTGGCCAGTGCCAGTTTCCGCCTATGCAGTCACAAGATTCGGTGAGAGTAAGGTGACTTCGCCTCTCTGAAGATCAATGATTCCCATTATCAGTCGTATTACTCTCACAGAATATTTTGACCGCCGAGACGGGAACCGTTGGCAGTGATAGCTGTAATTTGTCTTCTCAGCATAATCTGCCACCGGAACTAGCCCGCCTCCACTGATGTAGCCGGTCAGGTTTGTACCACCGTCTACAACTGGTGATCTGAGGTCAAGGTCGAAGCGGCCACTGGACATGGGGATGCAAAATTTTCCAAACAGCATGTCACTGATGTTCTCGGTGGCGAGGCGGCTGACCGGTACCATACTCGGTTACCTGGTCGCCCACACTTGCTACAAAGCTTCGAATAAGCCCGGCTCTTGAAGACCGCGCTCCAACGCCTACGTTATCTTAAGATATATATATATATATATATATATATATATATATATATATAAATATATATATAGTTATAAGAGCGCGGTACTCTTACAGAGTAGCTCATATCGTCAACCCCTCGAGTCATTCAATAGACTGCTGACACCGCTGATTGTCAGCAGCGGTATGCAGGGGCGGGTGGAAAGACAGGGGATATACTCTACGCCTGGAGGTAGTCGCATTCCAAGGTACACATGCCCCAGCACGGGAACTATAGTGTCCTTCAGCCGTGATAAAGCCAAGTGCGGCCGAACTTGCATCGAGGCGTGGCGGTGGTCACCGTGTATGGCTAGCAACGGGACGCGTTGGTGACAGCTTTCGCTCTCGCATTCCGTCACATGACACTTGGTTTGGTTTCACGACAACGTCGCTACTCGCATGGTGATCCGCGGGCCACCTTTCTTTGCCTTACCACGCCAATTCCCATCACTATTATTTGCCTTACCACAACAATTGTCATCACTAGTCCGGCAGAGCGTCTGTTAACTCCCCGCCCTCGGTGTTCAGCATGACATCATAAAATCAGCGTCAACTCATCGGATCATCTTCAAAAAGCAGCACGTCTTCAGCGCCGAGTGCCCACTATTCTGCAGGGGTTCACGCGGTATGTAGCGTTCTCTGTGCTTTACACACACTTGGACCCACGGGGCGACCTGGCTACCACCACTGCATCCACCGGAAAAGACGCCAAGGCCACCATAAATATTGGGGAAGCAAAAATTATTTCGAAAATTCGGGGAGCGCGTCCCCCCCCCCCCCCCCCCCCCTCTATCCCACGGGTCGTTGCCCCGTGCCGCCGAGCCCGGAAGCTGGTGCGGCATTTGCCGGCCGCGGGCCGTCTTTTTCGGCCGGTCTGCAGTCGGCGCCAACCGCAGACTCCCGATCAGAGCAGCCGCGGCCGGCTGTAGTGGACGGGCCGGGACCTATCGACAGTGGCGCACCCAGCACGCGGAGACGGGCGAGCTCCGGGGAGAAGATTGAAAATCACCAATCAATCAATCAATCGTTCACCCTCCCCCTACATTTCTCACGACAACTTCATGCTGAAGCAGCACCCCACCGAACTCGTTCCTGGCGGCGACCCTGAGCATCATCCACCCCGACGTGCACCGCGCCTCAAGCGGCGAGAACAGAGCACGGCCGCACCTCTCCAGCCGGCACCGGTGGCCCCGCAGAGCAAACCCGGCCACCGACCCCCTGCCGCACGGACCGCCCGGACGCACTGGCAACCAGCCGCGCGGCATGGGTCACGGGTCATAGGTCACAGGTCACAGTCCATGAATCACGGTCACGAGACACAGTCAGTCACGGGCCACGAGTCACGGGTCACGGGTCACAGTTCAAGGATCACGATCACGATCACGGGTCACGGACCACGGGTCATGTTCCACAGGTCACAGGCCACAAGGATCACAGTCAAGATCACGGTTCACGAGTCAAGGGTCATGGAGCACGGCGCGGTTGGACGTCGTGGCGTCGTCACCAACGAGTCGTGGAAACAACGCCCTCTAAATGCGTCTATACCGCGCAAAAGTCATGAAGGCTAAGGTAAATTTGTCCCAGGAGCGGAACGGCAATTGCAGGCGTCGCCAGAGGCGAGGGCCCGCTGAATTCTGTCTTCACTTCTTCCCCGTGACCCTTCGGTGACCTTCGGTCGGCATGACGCAAGATCGGAACGGCCGGGACTAGTCTCCGCCTCACTCCATGATTAGAACATGATCCGCTTGTGATTACATTGCACTGCATGAAGCGCTCACGACGTTACAGGTAACGGGGTCGGTTATCATACAGGTTACGGCGAGAAAATCAAAACGTGGGCGGTCATAGGCTTCCGTGATGAGATCGCAGGCTTCCATGACAATGAGGTCGCAAGCTTCCATGTGTGTCACTGGGGCTTTACGACGCACTCAGCTGCTGAGGCTATAAGGCGTCCCCTGCCTCTCACCCTGGCAGGAAGGGCGGGCACTGCGGGGAATCGAACCCCGTACCTCTGGTTTCCCACGCAAGCTTCCATGATGAGGTCGCAGGCTTACATGGCGATGAGGCCACCGGGTTTCACGATGAGGTTGCAGGCTTCCATGATGAAGTCGCTCCGACTTTGCGAAGCTGACAGGGCCGCGCACGATACAGACGGGGCGGGGGTAAAAACAGCCTCGTGTCTGGAGAGCGCAACACGTGGCGATGCTGATGGGCTGCCACATGTCTGGAGAGCGGGACACGTGGCGATGATCTCATGTCTGGAGAGCAGCACACGTGGCGATGATGATGGGCTTACAGACCACTCGGTTACAGACCACACAGACCACACAGTCCTGTGCGTCATTTTTCTTTTTAAGGACTCGACCCATGCCTCAGTGCCATGCCTAAGGACTCGATCTCGCCACTGCATTTCAGTGCAATGCAGTGGCGAGATCATTGGCGCTCGTGGGCATGGCGCAACAGGGATACCAGTTTTGGTTGGTACTTGTGCGTTTGGGTGTCTCCGAATGGACAGGCAAAGCTACCACCAATGCCGGCGTTTTCTATGGCAACAAGCCCTGATTAGCCCCCTTGGCTGGCCGTCCCTCGCTGCGCCGCTGCGCCGCGCTCGACACTCACGCAGTCCCTCCCTCTCCCTCCCCCCCCCCCCCCTCTTCTCCCTCCACTATGGTGTCTCCGGATCGGTGTAAAACGCACAGCAGGGCGTCCATACCGTGCGACACGCCCAAAAACTATACGTGCGTTGAACGGAGTGAGCAGCCGCGTGGAATCAGATGTAATAACCGGTAATAACCGGAGCTGTGGCCACGACCGAGGGTAGATGCCACTGGCGGCTTGGTGCCTTCCAAACTGCTCTGGTTGATAGTCTGCCTCAGCCCGCCCTCCGCAGGAAAGTGAACGATGAACCTGCATCAGAAACTTCGCGCCATAGCAAATACGCTCCAAACGAAACGTGCTCTCGGTAGCCCTAAACCTGCGTCCGGGGTCACCTTCACCCCGCAGCAGCCAGTGCTCAGCACACGGCCCGCCTCAGCAGTCAGCGCTCAGCACACGGCCCGCCTCAGCAGTCAGCGCTCAACACACGGTCCGCCTCAGCAGCCAGCGCTCAGCACACGCCCCCCCCCCCCCCCCCCCAGCAGCCAGCGCTCAGCACACGGTCCGCCTCAGCAGTCAGCGCTCAGCACACGGCCCGCCTCAGCAGTCAGCGCTCAGCACACGGCCCGCCTCAGCAGCCAGCGCCCAGCACACGGCCCGCCTCAGCAGTCGTGCACGAAACGCTGAACCGCACCACAATTCAAACACGTGGCGCACACGCCGCCGGACACACTGCCGACAACGATAGTGTATAAGCGCAAACCGGCTGTTGCTATTCGGAGCGGGGTGCCGGCTAGGTCACGTGCGCACCGTCACGCGCCAAAGGGGGGGGGGGGGGCAGCCACAGCGGGGGGCCCCTCCCCCGCCACAGCACACTCGCCACAGCGGAGGTGCTCTGACGTGAATGCTGGCGCCTCCTGACGTGAATGAATCGGACTTTTGTGCCGCCGACGGACAGACCGCTGCCACGGAAGTGGTTCGGGTGGCTGGAGTGCGAACGTGAGCTCGCTCTGACACGCGAGCTTGCGGCGTTGGCGCTGCAGCGCGGCGGAGTCCAGTGTTCCGCCCGTGTCCGTGCTCGTTGACTGCTGCGCACCGCGCGGGCGTCAGCCGCAATGGGACGACCCGGCGAGGCGCGCGCTTCCGACACGGCTCGTCAGTGGCTTCGCCGCCAGCGGAGGCGACGGGCGATGCGACCCGCGACGTGTTCGGAAGTCCCGGCTCGTGGTGGTTAGACCTGTGCGCCGCCGGATGCGACAGCTGCCTCCCGGCGGCAGAGCTAGGCAGGCGGCCGGCACGTCCTCGGCCACGGTAGGCCACGGCACGGGTGCAACTTTCTGTCCAGTTGGGCTTCCAGCCCCCTCCCCCAAACCCCAACTTTGTCCCCTGAAGAAGTGGGTCGAATTATTGTTGTTGATTGGAGGCGGTAGGGCGCGCCGACCACCGTGGTCATTTTGCGCCCAAAGTGGATCGAATTCAGAAACATGCCCAAACGGCCCAGATGCCGCAGGTCAGACCCGGGCCGTGTGGCACACTCACGTGGTCGTCGACCGAGTAGGTGAGCTCGCCGTCGTCGTACAGCACGAACCAGCGTCGCTGCCACCGCTGCAACAGAAGTGGGTACAGGTCAGCGGCGAGTCAGAGGTGCGCCCAGGTCAGCGGCGAGTCAGAGGTGGGTCCAAGTCAGCGGCGAGACAGAGGAGGATCCAGGTCAGCGGCGAGTCAGAGGTGCGCCCAGGTCAGCCGCAAGGCGTGCTTCAGAGGGTTTTGTCAGTTACCGGCGGTGCCGAAGATCATTGCAGGAATACAACCGCTGATTTGCGGCCATCTCGATGTTGGAGGCATGTGCGAGGGGAGGAAGGGAGGGGTCTCATTGGGGCAGCCAGGTTAACATTGGCATGGCTCGAGAGGCGCAATGTTCCATGTATGGCAGGCCGCAGACAGCGGCAGGAGTCTATCGAACGCATACAATGTGTGACATGGCCAAAACATTACACGAGGAAACGATAATCGACGGCATGTTCGCGAAACGCATCCATTCACCATCCTTTCGAACGTTTTCAATTGTCAGTTTCCTGTTAAACTCCCAAGCACAACCATTTCAACACGCGAAGCCACGTGCTGACGTGGCGCCAGCCAGCCCCCGGCGGCACCGAAGTGGCGTGTGACGTACGGTTGTACCGTGCTTTTGGAGCCCCATGTTGGTACCGGCGCACCGCCAGCCGCATTACCCGCCAGACGGTTCCTCTCCGACGTGAGCAGCTGGCCAGCGCCACAAAAAGCGCGCCAACCAGCGGCCGCGCGCCGGACGTGCGCCCGGCGCCGAGTCTCTCCGCGGCGGCTAAAGTCGGCCCGTCACGGGCGCGGTCACAGAGGGCCGGTCCGTCCGGCGCCGAGTCTCTCCGCGGCGGCTAAAGCCGGCCCGTCACGAACGCGGTCACAGAAGGCCGGCCCGTCTGGCGCCGAGTCTCTCCGCGGCGGCTAAAGTCGGCCCGTCACGGGCGCGGTCGCAGAGGGCCGGCCCGTCCGGTGCCGAGTCTCTCCGCGGCGGCTAAAGTCGGCCCGTCACGGGCGCGGGCGCAGAAGGCCGGCCCGTCCGGTGCCGCTATCAGACACGGATCATGGCTCTGAGTGGCGCCAAATTTGGGCGGCGCGAGCGTTCCATCGCGGCGACGGACACACGAGACCCCGGGGACACCAGGAGGAGGAGGACACTGAGGAAGCCCACCAAAGAACCAACCAGTAAGAGGGGGCATCTCAAGAGCCGGCCGACAAATGACATCGAATTTGGGTGGGGGACCTTGCAACAGTTTGACGTTGCTCGGGCTTCATGACGACATCCAGCAGACTGAAGCGCGGCGCAATTACTTATAAACATAATCGTAAAATTCGACACGGTATTGAGCTGCATTCGCTGCAAAGCGAGGAGACCCTGGGCTGCGACGACCCACATTTTGCAATGTTTCACATCGATTCGCTAGTGAAATTGGGCGGGAAGTGGACAAGGACGGCAGGAGCGCATGTATCCGCCGGAATGACGGCGGAAGCAGTCCCGTAAAGAAACAATCGAGACCGATCATCGTTCGTGACAGAGTGTTGACACGTGGCAGGAGTGCTGATTCGACTAAGGACCATTGACTCGTGAAAAGAATGTTGTCAGTTGTTTACGACACGGCAACCCAGCACTGATACCAACTGCGTCGCCATGCTTCCTCGAATGGCTTCTGAATCTGCAGCTTTGCAACTGCACTACATAGCAGTGCCGACGGCTTCTCATCGACACGCACAGTCCTTATCGTGTCATCGGTTTGTTATCGACGCAGCCTAGCCGGGTACTTGTGTGCCCGTCCCCCAAGGCCGCAGGGTACAGCCGTCTAACCGATAGCAAGGCGAACGAAACTCATGCCCTTTGGCGTCAGAGGCCAATCGACTTACTTGAGGCTTGAGGCTTGAGGCTTTGGCAGTCAATGGCAGAACTCTGAGAGAGCAGCAGAGCGGGCGGGTGCTCGGCAGAGACAGAGAAGCCCGTAAAGGATGCAGTGTGCCAGCTGCATTCATCACGCCAACCGCCACAGTATCGAGGATGAAGACTTGAAGCCGCACCGACAAGTCTTCCCAAAACACAGCTGCAGCGTGCAACCCCTTCCCAAAACGTTGGCACCTTTCGCGGAGAGGCAGCTGACGTCCAACCACGAACCAGGCCGTCGAATAGATCACCAGGCCGCCGACTAGACCACTAGACTACCAGGTCGCTGACTAGACCACCAGGCCGCCGACTAGACCACTAGACTACCAGGTCGCTGACTAGATCACCAGGCCGCCGATTAGACCACTAGACTACCAGACCACCAGACCGACACTACACACGTTGCTCAGCGTAGCTGTCGACTTCAAAGGCGGCGCGTGGCCCGCGCCTGGCCGTTTCAGCAGCGCCAGCGCATCTTCCGACACGAATCTCCGGCTCTCGCGCCCCTCCGGCGATCCCGGTACCGGAATATAACTCGTTATCGGGCTGCGAGAGGCCCGGCACGCGACGCCGGGGGGGATGCGCGGCCGGCCACACAGGGCGTGACCTCTGGTCGCTCGGCTATCATCTGGACCATCACAGCCCCGCAGACAAAAGGCGTAAAAAGGAGGCGGGAGCGGAGGCCGCGTGCCGCCCCGGAAAAAAACTTGTCGCCGGATGAGCCTTGAGCCCCGCTGGCGGGCCACGATGCCAGCCGAAGTCACGGGCGACTCGCTGGCTGGAGCGGCTGAAGACCGCGCCAGACCAGGACGGGGCGAGTCTGCTACCAAACGGCAGCCCAAATAGACCCACGACAGCGTATGGTGACGATCCGTGATGACGATCGGGGGCGAGCCGCACCCGCTGCATGCCGACGCGATGCTCATCCGACGAGATCGCCGAGACCGCCAGAGAGCAACGTGCTTCCTTCACGAGCTCGTGCAGGGTGAACGCGAGCTCTCGCTCCTCCTGCCAGGCGCTGAGTAGACGCAGCGCGGCGCCGAGGGGCGAGCCCAGCCCTCGCTCTCCCCGCAGAACCCGACGGTCGTGAGTGGGCCTGGGTCAGTGGTTGTTGACGATCCGTTCTCGATGCCACGTGTTGTTTCAATGGGCGCCACCGGTCGCCGGACTCCACGAAAGTCGAGGTCGCGGCGCGCCAGAGAGCGCCGGCGCCGACGCCTACCGCCGCTGCGAACCGAGCGTCGGACTTTGGGGCAACGCTGGCTCTCGCCGGCGCCGACGCCAAAAGCGCCCGCCAACTTCTGCGTCAACTGCACACGAGCCTGCAGCTGTCAACGCGCGGGCAGCGTTGCCCACTCCGGTGTTCGACAACACCGCGGCCGCTCCCGGTGCTGCTCAAGCCGGTGCTGTCCCCACCACGGCGCAGCCCTGGGTCAAGCCCAGTCAGCCCACCAGGTGTGGGCTCGGCCGCCGGCGGCCCACGCTCCCGGCCCGCGGCGGCCTTGGCCAACCGGCGTGCCGACTAGAAAGTGCCGCACGCCACATGCACGCACGTGCGCCGCCGTCCGTCGACCCGGCGGCGGTGGTGGCGCGGCGCGGCTAATTCCGGCGCGCCGGCACGTGCCGCGCAGATGTCGGCGAACGCGACGCGCCGGCGCCGCCCGCGGGCTTCCGGTCACCGGGTGGCCTGCCCGAGAACAACAATCGCGGTGGGGCATGCGAGCCCAGCCGAGCCACAGCCGGCACATGTAGTCAGGTTTCTCTGCGTACATGCCAAAAGCTATTTCACGCTTGAGTGAGCAGACTCCGGTCAGCCCCGTGGCGCGTAGCATGCCTGAATGGCAACAGGCTGTAGAAATTGCTGGTTGCGGACGGGGGCGGACTGCGCCTTAAGGGTTGCTGAGGCCCATTACTGTTCCTGTGCTAGTTTATATGGTTGGACGGACGCTGGCTATCAAGGTCCCGCTTCTCAAGCCGAGGTCGCGAGCTGTCTTCTTCCCAATCGAAGAAATCGTCGGCATGTGACGTCGCCGACACACCAACCAAGCCGGTGACGTCACATGAGTCGATGACGTCACGTGCCAACCATTGTGTGACACCACTGACTCACAGATCCGTCGACGCCCACCAAAGGTCTGAAAGGTCGGCGGTTCCCGGAAGCCGGGAAGTCCGTACAAGCCGTCGCTAGGATCAGCGGCGAGTTTGGTCGATGCACGACTGACGACGGAGCCCGGCGGGTGGTGAGGCGCTCACACGGGAGCAGAGGGCGTGTCACACGGAGACAACATTGAGCAGCGGGTATGTCATACAGAGACTGCAGTGAGCAGCGGGTATGTCTCACAGAGACTGCAGTAAGCGGCGGGTATGTCACACAGAGACTGCAGTAAGCGGCGGGTATGTCACACAGAGACTGCAGTAAGCGGCGGGTATGTCTCACAGAGACTGCAGTGAGCAGCGGGTATGTCTCACAGAGACTGCAGTAAGCGGCGGGTATGTCACACAGAGACTGCAGTAAGCGGCGGGTATGTCACACAGAGACTGCAGTAAGCGGCGGGTATGTCACACAGAGACTGCAGTGAGCAGCGGGTATGTCTCACAGAGACTGCAGTAAGCGGCGGGTATGTCACACAGAGACTGCAGTAAGCGGCGGGTATGTCACACAGAGACTGCAGTGAGCAGCGGGTATGTCACACAGAGACTGCAGTAAGCGGCGGGTATGTCACACAGAGACTGCAGTAAGCGGCGGGTATGTCACACAGAGACTGCAGTAAGCGGCGGGTATGTCACACAGAGACTGCAGTGAGCAGCGGGTATGTCTCACAGAGACTGCAGTAAGCGGCGGGTATGTCACACAGAGACTGCAGTGAGCAGCGGGTGTGCCACACGGAGACTTAAATGTGCAGCGGGTATGTCACACAGAGCCTGCAGGCTTCCCAAAGTTCACGGAGAACGCAGAATCCGCGTCGATGCAATACGTTTCAAAACAAGTATTACTGAACAAAATGCCTGGAGAGGATTCGGTCACCCCGAGCTACATTTCGATGCCAGTGTTGTGCCGAGCCGTCTGGCAAAGCCCATCGAGCGCGCGGTGAAACAGCGCTCGCGGCTTTTCTGCACAACGAACGCGGCAAAAACCGTG